TAATATGGCTTCCAAAGCTGACATACTGATGAAGTTACCTAGTGTGGTAGTGAGGTGTCTTTAAGCACACGACCAAGCTCAAAGACTACCAAGGACCCCATGGTTCTCCTCCTCCTCCTCCTCCTCCTCTCCACAAACCCTATTCCTTTCTAGCACTGATGACGTTCCCTAGGTGGGTCATGTAATGTCTGCAAGAAAATAACCAAGCTCAGAGAGACCAAGAACCCCACAGTCCTCCTCCTCCTCCTCCTCCTCCTCCTCCTTCTCTCTCTCTCTCTCTCTCTCTCTCTCTCTGCAAACCCCACTCCTTTCCAGCACTGATGATATTACATACTTGGGTCATGAAATGTCTTTTTTTTAAAAAAACAAGTAAACTCAGAGAACACCAAAGATCTCCTAGACCTCCTCCTCCACTCTACAAACCTCACTTCCTTCTAGCACAGATGGGGAATTCTGGGAGTCGAAGTCTCCTCCTGTCAGTGTGTGCTCCCTTCAAAACCCAAGAAAGAAATACCCAGACTCCATGGATCAGAGCAAAGTTATTCTTTTACTGGGAATCGAAGAGGAAGCTACAGATGGAATTCCGAAACTGAGAATTTGGCACGCAGATCACATATACAAAGGAATAGAATTGTTCCCACCCCCCAAAGTCCAGAAGTCTCTTCCAATTAAAAGTTCTGAATATGATCATGTGGGCATCTTCAGGTGGTGATGAGGCCTCTGTCCGTTGACCTTGACATATTTTGATAAGACTTCACAGCTGCGCAAAAGGGGATAGAGGCTAGCAAGGAAATGGAAAGTTGAAAGGAAGAAATCATACACCCCCTCCTTTTGCTTACCCACAGTAAAGGAGTGTAAAACACCTCCAGCTCTCTTCCCCCCACAATTACCCCTCCCCCCCCCTTGCTAATGACAGCGAAAGAATTAAGCCTAGTAGTAGAGAAGATAAAGTAGGTAGGATATGGGAGAGATAAATGAGATAGACAGCAGTTAGGGTACCTGAAGAGATCTTGAGGCTGACACCTCCCCATCTTCAAGTTGCCAAAGACTGTCCCCTAAGACTAGAAGGCCCTGCCATGAGTCAACAGGAGTGGTGCAACTTTTTTCTTTTGCAACAGTTGTCGGCAGGTGGGAGACACACACCTGATTTTATTGCACAACTGCAATTCTACCATTTGCATGAAGTTACCATGCTGGGTGTGTCTTTGCTGGGGCTTGCTCCAGACACCTGTGGACACTGCACTGGAGCCCAACATCCCAGAGCTGCCGGTTACATGGAGAGGGGGAGAGAGAGGGAGAATGAGAGAAAGAAAGAATGAGAGAGAGACAGAGAGAAAGGTAGAAAAAGAGAGAGAGAAAGAATGAGAGATTATGACACAGAGAGAGAATGAGACAGAGAGAAAGAGAGAGAAAAAGAGAGAAAGTGAAAGAATGAGAGAATATGAGAGAGAGAGAGAGAATGAGACAGAGGGAATGAGAAAAGGAGATAGGGAAAGAAAGAGAGAGAAAAAGAGAATGAGAGAATGACAGAGAGAGAATGAGAGAGAAAAAGAGAAAGAATGTGAGAGAAAAAGAGAGAGAGAATGAAAGATAAATGAGAAAGAGACAGAGAAAAGGAGAAAGAGAGAAAGAATGAGAGAGAATCAGAGAGAGAGAATAAGAGAATGAGAGAAAGAGAGAAAAAGAATGAGAAAGAGAGAAAAAAGAGAAAGAGAAAGAATGAGAAAGAGAGAAAAAAGAGAAAGAGAAAGAATGAGAGAAT